ATCACAAATCGTCATTCGATAGTTTAAAAAACCATAGCACGAAAAGAAAAAATTACGTCTTGCTCTTGGAGTAGTTAGCTTGTTGTTCCAACTTCACAGAGGGATCATTTGAGATACGAAACGAAGTTTAAAAGCTAAAACACGTCAGACATTAGAACAAAGTCTCTTTTCGACTTACTTCACTTTTTTTGTTTTTTTTTCATCAAGAAAAATTTTTTTTGGAAGCGGAGGGAAATTTCTAAATAAATAACACAGCCTCTGCCACTGTATTTTTGACGATGTTTCACACTCCCCGCTCGCTGATCCTGAGCTTTGCGAGCTGTTTTGAGCATTGAGCGTCTCAGATTTTGTTGGACTTGGCAACGGATATTCTGAATGTTTTTTGAAGTTGACGAGGTGATTAGACAATATTTCCGATGACCTTCTTCAATCCCTCCAGTATTTTTCAAACGTTTCACTGCTCTGAAGACACTTACTGGTTTGAAACTAGTCCATTTGAACAATGTCGGCAGGTTTCATTTCCGACTTGTGCAACTTAGCAACTGCGATAACGTTGATTTTTACGATCCAAGGTCTGGGCACACCTGAAAATAAACAAGTAGATAGAACAGATTCTATAGAAGATCTGAACAAGGATTTTAATGATATATTAGAACTGATGAAAAAATGTTATATCAATGCCAAAATTAACAAATTACAAAATTGGCAAAACTTTTCTCGTAATATATACATATTTACGCTTTTAGTGCTATATAAATAAAGGATAAAGCTCTCGAATGGAGTTTGCTGAGAAGGTTTTACAATGCCCTCGCTGCAAGCAATCATTGGCGTTGTGAATTAGAGAAAGCTTCGCTGCTTTATGGCTATAACTCTTGAGCGAATCTCACACGTCTTAATTAAACGATTAACAGCGATATAACAAGTAGAATTTTACTTCACAAAAAAAACACAGGTTCTTTCTTTCTCTGCGTTTTCTTTTATTACAATTAAGTTTCGAGGGTAGATGAGAGAATTGGAGGCTGATGTAACTTTGGTTAACGCTAAACGTTTAGCGATCGCAAAGTTGCTACTGGGGTTTTGACTTCTCTTCTAATACATAGACAATCACTCCTGTGGTTGCACTGCACAATATTCAGTCCTTGAAAATGAACTCAAATGACCAATCCAACTTTTGAAATTTGCTAAAGCATTTGATGGTATCCAAACCGTGAGAGTTCATGGGATATAATAAGCTAATATGTCCTTCATGAACATTGTTTTCGTGAAAATCAGCCAAAAAACCTATCGTCTCACAAGTGATGTTGACCTCAGACAACATTCGAGGTGCCCGACTAATCTTTGGTGTTCTAAAAACAATGTCAGCAGCATAACGAAGGAAGTGTAATTGACGACCATCGATTTTGACTTGTACGTTGTCCTATTTAATTGGCCGCATGATGTCGTGGAGGGAGGTAGTTAATGAATTCCGTGAAATGGTATCGGCTTATCTGACTTCATTTTTGCATCGATTGTTGACAACACTGTTCCACAATAGAGCTATTTTGATTGTGAAACCTTTACACAGATTACGAAAAATCTCTATGTACTCTTACCTTTACTTCAACTGTTTACATAAACCTGCTCAGGACACTATTAATCCAATAATCTGGTAAATTTCATCTCTTCACAAGGTCTGGTATAGCTCTTATACATTACTAGAAGGCTGTTACGCATTTATAGGCTCATCAGTAGCACGGTGCCTCCCGGTTTAGTCCATCCCTTGCAAGGGATATACCCCCTACTTATGAAGGAGTCTGAGCCGGATTATTTGAATCAGAGCGTGTTAAAATCTCCGACATTGCAGTAACCACAGGCGAAACAGTAGCTTACTACTGTATAAGTCCATACCAAACCCCATAAACGGCTCAGAACATGTTATCAGAATTATGCAATCAGTAAGGACGCTTTGGACATTGAGCTTCCACGAGTATATCTGTCTTGATTCAAAGAAAGGTAGTGTTATGATGGCTTATCTATATATCCAGGAGCGCTGAGTGGTAAACACATCTCTAAGCCTCAGGCCAAGATTGAGCCGGCTTTCCATTCATACAGGGCGAGCAAGGGTCTCTGTAATGCTTTGTTGACACGCAGTTGAGTGCAGTTGTTATGACGGCAAACGATATAACTATTGAAGAAATTCGAGAATTAATCACAAATGGTCCTCTCCATTGAATTTTTCAAAGCTGTAGCTGTTACGTGACGGCGTATGAGTGCAATAGCCTAATTTTTCCACTTGGCGAATTTTCCATGCTCTCTCCCAGTTCGTGCAACTGCTGTCACAATTGAATTGCTGCTCTTCTCTTCTTAAGATCTCTTTTAGTTGCTTCTCTGAAACGTTTCGCAGCTGTGGACGCGAATTCGCAGTTGTCTGTGGATCGTACGATTCCATTTTGGTGCAATAGCTTGAGTCTTTCTGGCGACAGCCGTCTCTTACCTCTTGATGACATGCAAATTACGATTCTCCTGGCGTCAAAGCGAAAGTGTTAGCCACAGCGGCCGTGTTCCTAATCGATATTGTTAACGGCATTTCCAGGAGTCTACTAGTGATTCGGAAAAAACTAATTTAATGACGCTCTTTGGAGTATCATGGCGTGAACTTATCGGCCCTTCTCTCCTTTTCGCGAAAAATGAAAGGCTTGACGAGGCAGGCAGTGGTGTGATCTCTTGTAGAATTTTGGAAATAACAGCTTCATCGGTTAGACAGAACCTTCGATTGACGGAAATGTGATCTACTTCGATGTGCCACTCTCAAAGAGCGACTCCCAAGCTTCTGAAACTCTGAGTTACCAGAGCTTGTTTTGGTCGTCATAATGATCAGACACAGTCTCTCACCCCTTTTGGTTCATTCTAGTCCGCGGGTCTCAACGCTTCGAGCGTTCTAGGATTCTTTTTTGCATAAAAATATTCATTAATAACCTAAAAAATATGTGATCCATAGGAAGAACGTTTCAAATCCAAATTCAGACGCTTCGCCTTCTACTTCGTTATGTTGTGACTGATGTGGATGCAAGCGTGAACAACAAACAAAGAGACGAGTGGTTCACATGCTTTCATTCGCAGACGTTCGATCACGAGTTGTTAGTTGATCGAATAAACCGATGTTGACAACAACACTCGTCAATGGAGGCGGCGACTCTACCGACTCTCCTATATTGCGTTTTTAGAGGAACAATTCTTCTGCCTTGTCGTAGAAGCGTGAAAAGGGTACCGTCTTCCTTCACCACTCACTCCAATCCCATTCTGAGATACCTTTCTCACATGCAGTATCAAGTTCCCTCTAGAGATTTGTTCAGAAATGTGCGCGCAATATAAGTACAGATCGCCACTTGGTACGCTGTGATTTGAGCACCCTTTTACGACTCTCAGAATTGAATTCACCAATCCGTATTCTTCCTTTCCCACGCTATCGTATTGGAGCTCATTCGTAGTTAGATGAATGAGGTCCAATAATTTGGATAGCTTTTGGTGCCCATGTGTCAGTTGGATGAGCTCTAAACACAGGTGTTCGATACTTGCGGGTAAGTATTTTTCCCAAAGTGGCAAGGAGAGGATTGTTTGAGAGACGAGTGTTAACCACCTCCCACTGTACTTTCCAGCCTTTTCATTGCAGGCTCCCGGCCAGATTGTTTTGTATAATATAAGAAAGCTGTACCTCAAACTTTCTTAGTCTCCTGTTCAATCTGTTTTACACGACCAACAACAAATCAACTGTGTGGATCCCGGCACGTGCATCCGGTTTGTTTCAACACATTCATCCTCCACAAAGGCCTTCGATTAGTTCACGCGGTGCTCTAATTGCCTTGAGAATTTCGTCTTCTCTACAGATGTCCAAAATTCTGCTTAAAGCGAATCTCCTTGCAATCATGAAGGTAGCCGAGCTAGGCGTTCCTGCTCATTGATTTGAAAAAATTGATGGGAAGAGGATTGAATCAGCGCTTCGCTAATCATCTTGCTCCCTCTTAAGTCTCAGCAGAGTATGGGGCCATTTTTCGAGCGCGTTTGCCCTCTTATCCACCACATGAGGCCGCACCACGACTCACCGGCTTGAGATCTGGCTATTATGAAGAGCCGTGAAAAATTGAACAATACTACCTCAATTTATGCTCTGCCTGGATATTTCATATAGTCATACGTTAAAACTAGCTATGTTTTTCAATGATGTATGAATAATTTTCTGCCAAAGAATATATCAGCAGCGCGTTTTAGCCTATTTTGGTTTACTCTAACAAGTCAATGATTAATACGTTTTGTAGTTGATTCGCGCCATCTACTTTGAGTTCTTGTGGCCCACACTTCTTTACGTGTCTTTATCAACACCAGGCGTTTTTACGAATTCCTTATATAGCTATATATATTGCAGCTACTTGCTAAAATACCCACTAAATCCTATTCCTTCCGACTCCTTAGGGATGGACACATAGGGAGGGTACGAGTGGAATTCTGCTCATTACCGTTGCGGTTCTTTAGTCATTGCGAATCATTTAGCCACAATTTTCTGTGGAACCTAATTAATCTCAAAGGCCTAATTTTAGTAGACAACAAAGAGTTATATCCACTGAGAAGGAGACTGAGTTGATGTCAAATCAAAAACATTCCAAGATGCGAATCTGCTTCTAAATGCATTTGTCTCTGCAGTTCATGCTAGGAACCGGGTATTAATCCATAATCACTTTGGTGTTTGATAAGATACCCCTTGTATTTCTATGCTAATGCCAACCGCATATAGTTATAATTGTTGCCCCAAACTACGAATGTTTATTTCTAGCATTAGAACTATTTATGAAATCTCATGCTGTGCAGAATCAAATCTGTAGTCGTTATAAAGCAAATGGCATCGTATGACATTTGATGACTGTTCATCCACATCCACTATTTCCTTTCATGACTATGTGTATAATTCAACATCGTATCAACAAGAAATCTTTCTCTGTACAGCAGTAAAAAGAGTGGTGGGAAAACCGGCGTTGGTAGTGCAATTGGTGAAAGCACGCGCCCCCGTATAGGGTGAGATGCGGGCTTCGATCCAGCCTGACTCAAAATTTTGCACATCACTCAGCTCATTGTGGATACTTGGATGGCTCTTCTTCACTAATGATGAGGGTCTCAGCAGAGAAAACTGGGCTAGTTGAGCTATTTTGTCTCGTAGAATTTCGAAGTAAGCCTAGCTGGTGCTTCCTCAAGTCGTCACCACAATAGAGTAGTCGCCGGCTCTTATGGATCAGAGGGAAATTACCACCTTACGACTAGTGGTTATCATGGTGGCGGTCTTTTCTGGTATGGTCTACTCTTACTTAGGCTTTCCGAGTGTAAACGTCGGGCCCATTCTCGGCTTGGGTGGCCCTGCTGGGGAGTTGAGACCCCGGTGTACTTCGCAGTCCGACACCCAGGGACATGTCCCATCTACGATGAGGCGGTCAACCATCTGGGCGGAGCTACATTTATACGATATGATTTTTTGAAATAGGATAGTCTTTTTATTCCACGTTGCACAACTTTGAGAACCTGAGAAAACTTCAAAAAAGAGGTTTTCATAAATTTTATCTCTAGGTGATTGAAGTTTTTGGCTTCATTTTGTTATTGGTGAAATTTTGTCAACAATCTTCCTAGCAGCATTGAAAATAGAGACACTAACGTTTTCGGCATTTCCTCTGTTTAATAAAGCATGATTCAAAATGTAACGTTTTGGAACCAAAGTAAGGCCCTTTCTTAACACATTGACGACCGTTGGTCCACGGCGATAAATCCTCCCCGTCACGCACGAAGTAACTGGGCGGCGAGCTATTCGCAGTTACGGTGCGTCGTGTTGGCATGGATCGGGAAGAAGGTTGCCGGTTCCATTCTCTGATGCGACGTTCACCGTAGATTTTGGGCGTTGTTTTTCGGTGTCGATTAGTACTATAAAATCTTTTAAAAGTAATTATCACAGCAAAAAACGCTCAGTTGTCTAAAATATCATTACCTTTTGATGCAACACATAAAGTATATGAGGCAAACATATGAAAAGAGGTAACGCTTGTGTCACGACGTTGCTTCATGAGGTATTCTTTTTTTTATCCAAATTCTGCTAGCTGTGGTATGATGCTATAGTACTGACAATGATGAGCGCAAGTGTTTTGCACAACACTCAACATCATTAGCTATATGAGATCTTTTGTGATATGGTGTGTCACTGATTTAGTATAGTGTATAAGAAACAAAAGGATAACATAAGAGAAAAACTACAGTGAGGTATTGTGCTAAAGGACCGAACCCGCAGCCTTCTTCTTGATCGACACCAGCACAAGACATCGTCACTATGGGGTGCTCACTGCCGAGTCGCCGCGTGCTTAACGGGCCGGGGCTAGCGTCGTGGGTCAACGGTCGTCATTGTGTTAGGCGACAAAACTGTCGTTTGATAGCAGATTATACTTGATGTGGTTCATGGACCCTTCCAGTATTAAAATGGAAGTACACGCTTTACAGGTATTTGTTCACAGTTACAGCAGAGTTATACGGGCTGCAAGTTCAATAACTGACTCTGTAGCAATGATCTAAATGTGCTCCATGGCACAGCTCACACTTACTTCCACTCTAATAGACATATGAGACTTTCTCTTTGTTTTTGAAATGCAAGATTTGATAGTATGGAGCTTTGTTTAGAGCTTTCAATGAAGTGAAAGTGCCAAACATTAACGTATTTTTTATAAATGGAAACACCAACATATTATTGAGTGTTATTCTCCCGTGGGACTACTGAAATACACTAGATATGAACTGGATATCCATCTCCTTAGCGGCCTGTACAGCATTCTTTTTTCTTATCTTTTGAGTTGCACTATCTCTTCATTTCTATTTTCACTTTCCAAGACGAAAATCATTTAATGTCCACCTAATGATGTTTTCCTGTAGTGATAATCTTACATAATCTTCTATTGCGGTTAACTTTTTGTCACATCCACATTTTAGAGAACAATAACTCGGGTCATCGTAGTCGCCACTTCTAGAAGAATACGTTTACTACACATCCATGCAGGAAATGAATGAAAGCAGGCACTGAAGATCGCTGTTTCGCTGTGTGCTAGCTAATTTGAATTTAATTGCTGCAGGCTGTGTTGTCGCCATGAAAAACACATCATTTTGAACGAGAACAAATTGGAAGTCATCTTGTGTAAAGGGACACTGGCATATAAGGAAACTTCACTAGTGCGGTGGTCCACCTGATTGGATCCGAACTGGTCATAATAAAAATGGCATCTCAAGACGAGCAGCTCTCTTCGGTGCCGCTCTGAAAAAGTCGAAGGAGCAGAAGTGTTTACCACAATGAAAAGTTGTTATGAAAAATCGTATTGATTGCTGATGCTAAGGATATTAAATAAACCAAAAATAGCTGAAGACTTTCCTTATGCTGACGAAAATTACCAACCATTGGAGATAGCAGTTAGCAAATGACAGTGCACAAAACTTACAACCAATTTTGAACTATTCTTTTTGGAACACTCAAACTGTGGATTGCGGAAAGTGTATGTTTTTAAGATATTTCAGCCCCATGAAAGCGACTTTGAAGTTATCTGATTCTGATGGAGCGTATTACTCCTATTGATAGCTCACCTTTCTAAAAATTTACTCAGATTTGTTTTTGTATGTCCAACTTGAGAGATATTGGTCAGCATTCGTGGAATAAATAAGATTATAGTAGAACTCCATCATTATTATTTTATTTGAGGAAATTTTTGATAATGGAGAATTAGGTTCGCGAGCCTAATGTACTTTCCATAGAGGGCAGGGAACGAATTCGAGAAGTCGATAAGGACATTCGTGTGCTCGATCGTTCTAGAGGGAACCATTTATCCAAGGTAGCAACCATACAAAAAGATGTGTGTAATTTACTCACACCTTTCACTGCTTCTGCCATATAGCTCAAATCTGGGCTGCCCGCATATACGTAAATGTTAGTATATAATATTCCTACCCACCTTGATACCCATTCGGCTTATGATAACCAACTGTAATTTTTACAGAACTAGTGTAGTAAAGCATTGCGAACTTGATAGACCTATGACAGGGACATCCTCCATCGCTATAGATTCATGACATTTCGGCAAACTACTCCTTTGATATTGAATCTTCAAGGATTGCAATTTGCAAAAACTGGAATTAAAATTAATTTCTTCAAAATCTTTCAGTAAAGGCACGGAAGCTGCAATTATTAATCTTATATACGGTTTATCAGTGTGTACAGTTCTAGAGAATCCTGGTTATTGAAACATAAGTATTTGAGTCTTTTAGGACGAAAAAGGAATTCGTCAACTGATTTCTAAGAGGGAAAGAAAAGTTCTGTTTTTGTGGTTTCAGAACGTCAGAATTTTGTCGCCAGAAAAATACGATAATTCGCTCTTTCCTGACAAAAGCTGGTACAATCTAAAAACTCAAGAGGCGAAAGTAATTTTTTTGTCCGGTGTTATAAAAGAATTTATGATCTAAGCGCTTAAAATTGGAAATAGGCTTTGTTCACATGTCCTATACGTTAAATTAATTTACACGATTCGTTGTGTTAAACCAACAATATAACCAGAAAGGAAGCGCTAACAGCCTTGATCTCTTTTCTTCCTTAAGAGATAAGACGAGTCGATTAAATTGTTCAATGGAAAGTTACAATGAGTTTCGAATTAGTAGTCCATATTCAGAATGGGGCGGCGGTCGCAGTGATGCATCCTTGCTTCTCCTGGGACTCAACCACTATAAGCACTTGCTTATTACTTGGCGTCTAGACGAATCACGTGTTCCCGTATAGGATAAAATGACTGCGGTTACTTCTATCTTTCATCTATGACAGTCGTTATCCTCCTACCGTCACTCTTTTAAAATGCGTTGGATAATCTTCCAATCTGCTCAGTTATACTTAGAAGTAAGCCTAAAAGAATTGAGTGGTGAGCAAAAATACGGCCTCAGACGGGAGTCGAACCAGCGTTTCATCCATACTTGGGACGTTTGCTACCACCACACCACCGAGGCACGTTCGCGTCACCACTCATTCAACGTTAGCTCTCAGCCACCAACCCTTAACAGGTTTGGTCGCGTATCCGATTTCGCTTTATAAACCCAATTGAGCTGTCAGCCATTTTGATAGGTAATACTCGGAATTTCTAGTTTTTTTCTGCATTTCGCAGTGTTATGGTGTTTCACATACACCTAAGAAGATTGAGTGGTGAGTAAAAATAACGTAAATGAGTGGTGGCACGAATGCACCTCGATGATTTGTTGGTAGCACGCGTCTGCGGTATCGATGAAACGCGGAATCAACTCCCGTCTGAGGGCTCACTATTCAATTGCCTTAGGTGTATATGAATCATCGTATTACTGCAAAAATGCAGTAAAACACCTAAAATTCTGAGTATTACTAAAAGTACGTCAACGCAAAGGGGATCGTATACATCCTATGACAGAACACTAATAAGCACGCGAAGATGATGCAGCGGTCTGTCACCGAGTGCCACTTCCACTCACTAGAGAATTTTCGCACTGTTTGTGACTGTCTCGACTAACTTGGCGAGTCAAATAAACTCAGAATATGTAATCAACAAGAATTTTTTATTTAATCGCTTTTTAGCAGTGATATGATGTGCTCACACAAACAGTGAGACACGCGATTAACTTCCTCTCGAGGTCCAGAGTTGTACATTTCACTAAACATCATTAAGTACATAAAAGAGATTTCTTGTCCTGGTTGCTAAGTTGGGCTCCCTTATCCTCTTCTGATAGGTGATCTAAAAAAGGAAGCTTTAATGAGAGAATCTAATGACAATGGCAGGCTGAATACCTATCTCAATATAATTTTATAATGACATGGTATTGTGACAGAGTCGTTTTTGTGGCAACTGTTAACGGTTTGGTGATAACTGTAGAAATACCAGTTATCTTCCGTATAGGATCTCTAGCTGACATCTTGATGTCTTCAGAAAGTTGTAATTCCTTACTCTAAAACACGCAGGCTAGAAATCAATACCATTGACTCCTACGTATTAATAGAAGTGCTAGTTTTTTTGACTCTCTCATCAATGTCCTCGTTTTCTTCTGTTTGTTTTCATGATGCTATCGGCATTGTTTATCACACAACATGTATTGATGCAGCGTAATACACGTAGTTATCGAGACAATAATGCATCGATTGTCCTTCTTTTTGCTAAATTGCATTGAAATCTTGAACAGTTACACGAGAATTTGGTTAGTTACAATTGGCGTTTAATTTTCCAGACATGTGAATGGCACAAAATACTCGTACCACTGATCTACATAGTCAAATGCCGGATCACAACAAAATCGCAGCAAAATAGATTTGTTTGAAATTTGATTTATGTTGTATATGGAGGAATCTCGTACAAATCCAGCCCCATTTTTTCCAAAAAAGAAACCGCCGATGCTGCTTACCTCAGCTGAAGAGACGGTGTGGTTACCCATGTTGTTCGGTATGCTGGCATTATCGGTAGTTGGTTTTCTTGGGAACGGCATGGTGATTCTAGCCACGATTACTTCACCACGTCTTCGAAATCGTTGCGGTATACTTATCTGCATCCTAGCCATAGCCGATTTCGTAGTCTGTATTTTCTTGGTGAGTTTTGAAAAAATGCAAGTTTTTTGGTGCTTACATTATTAGACGGCGGCAAATCTATGAACCAATTTCATTTTCAGTACAGGAACTTTTCATAAGAGTGTTAGCCATTGTTTGAAAGCTGGAGTAACTGGATACAACTTCATGCCTTTCAAAACACCACTTTATAACGCTGTAGTGCCTAGAATTAAATTTTGCTTCACATCCTCCTTACACCTTCATTTTTGATTACGCTTATAATTCGCTGGAAGCACGAAAAGCATATCAGCGTGTAGAGAATTTTCCGTAGTACGAAAATCTACGTTTTTATCTTATTTCTGTCGATCCAGTGAAAAAATCTCCAACTGAGTAGTAATATTTCAAATGCGACCGATCGTCGTGTCCCGCCTTGTCCCTGCCACGTCCCGTGAGTTGGCCGGCAAGCAAGGTCGTCGAGATTGCAAAACTCGATGTATTTATATTGAGCGGTATTTCCTACAAGATTGAATGAATAATAACAGTCTAAAGAAAGACCTCTTTCTGTGAGACTCAAAACACTAACATTCTCTTTCTCCTGCGGCACTATCACAAGAGCCTTCTCAAAAATCAAACACATTTTTGAATTCTTCAAAACTTGTGCTATCGAATGAAAACTAGCACCTTAGAAAAATTTAACCTGCGAAATATAAGCGAAATAAAAAAACCCGTTGTCGTGTGTATATTATTCTATTTTGCATATTACAGCGCTATAAAAGGGTGTTTCGAAAGACCGACCACGTAGGGCTCTAGCCAGCGATACAAGCTTTCGATTATTATTAAATCAGCTCCTGTTCAGCGAATGTAATCGGTTTATAAATATGTCGCCGTCTAGCATATGAAAACAGTTTTTATCTAAAAAGAATTCTCATGGCTTCATGAGATTAGGTTACGCATTCAGATTGTGCAATCCTTTCACATTTTTTTTTTTGGTACCTAGCTATGAGAAAACTGAACCATACCTTTTAATGTGCAGTTACTTGATTTAAACTACATAAAATACTCAAAAAATAAAGGCCAAAAACTGGTAGAATTAGGATTTTGCGTAATTTGATGAATTCATGTCGACAGATCCAAGTACATGTGATGATACTGTTAAATTGGTATTTTCTTCGGAACAGCGATTGCTTCTTCTATAGTATCTACGGATTATTTGCACTGAATGTACAAAGTGGCACAGACTTGGTTCTGAGCGCTGATCGGTGCCTTGCCGTTACGACTCCAATCAAGTAAGTTCAAACAGTACAGCTTGCCTTATCACCTTTTTAGTGTTGCCATCGTTCGCAAAATGTACTATTCTAAGTGCTCATTTCATTCGATTTGTAGTATCTTATTCGTCTCAAAATGGACATCTATGGATGTAGGGCATTCGCGTGAGTCGGATAAATCCTAGGGATTTCGCAATCTTCCCTGATGCCAATAAATGCTTCTAGAACTGCTTTTTTTCTGTAATACAGGGGTAGCTCCATAGAAACAAACCTCTGTATTCTTCTCGAGCAGACATCGACATATGCTGACTGGAGGGATTTTCCTTCAGTTCTCCTTGTACTTATCTAGAATTGACTTTGGTACAGCAAAACATGTACCACTACGTATATATGTGAGGTCTTCGAATCGTTTTTTCTGTGCAGCAGTGATCAGACACTGCTAAATTTGGTAAAAGGTCACTTAGAATCCTTGTAGCTATATGAAAATGGAGGGAAATATCAACATGACAGCAACTGTTTAAGAAGAAACTTTATTTTTCTTGGTGTCTTGTCTACATCGGAGCAGAAATTAGTGCGGTTGGTTCACCTGCTCTGACGTCAGTACATGTCTGATGATTTACTCTTCGTTCTTGCCCTGAAAGAATATGAATTGCGCATATACTTCTGTTTTGCACTGTCACCATTCTTACGCGACATCACGGAAAAAAGGTACGAATTAAGACACATCACAATGCATACTCAATCAATATATGTTATTCATATGATGTAAGCCCTCAACCTCTTAAAAATTGCAGTCTCAGTTTTTTCTATATTCTGCAACCGTCATTCCTTAAGACAGTAGGGTCTATTTACGTGTCCGAATCAAGTTTGTGATCTGGGGCATTCTATCTTCACTGGCGTTTTAGATGCTATTCTGACATAAATTGTCATGAATTTTATACATTTGCATGATCCTAAGTCTTCGCTATTTGCAGATCTAGTCCTTTTAACTCGGAACAAGGTTTAATGTTGATCTTTGTCGGAGCTTCTTTTCTAGTGATCTTTTTCAAATTATTAAGCCACTTCAAGATTGGTATTCGTATTCTTCGGAGGTGGATTGATCCAAATTGCATGATCCACTGCTAGTCGCCCTTGCAATGTGGGTGTTCACTATCGAATCGGATCGAATCCACTGAAGTTGAGCGCCACTCTAGTAAGAGACCTGTCTTAGCGATGCCTTTTCATACGGGACAAATGTTGGTCCATTGCCGTCACGCAGATTGATCCACCTTTTGGCGACGATTCATCTTGCAGTTATCCGTAACTTATTATCATTAGCTGAATTATTTCCAGCGCTTACTATGGTTACTTCAACCACCGTTCCTCGTCACCTTTCCCCTGTTAATCGTCGTGCAACGCAATTAGACACGCCTTCATTCATCTGTTTCTAGAGCTACTTATGGTGCTGTGCATTTCAAAGAGCGGAATGAAACATGAGTGTTTCGTTAGAGTCCTTACATTTGCATTGTTAATTTTGACATAAACAAGGGTAACTCATCAATCTTTGGTGTGATCTAATTTTCCACTAGTGCTCGCGATCTTTGCTAAACTGAATTTTTAAGCGTTAGGTTCAGCTCATGAACGCCACTGTTCTAAACTCAAGACTACCTTTAGTGATGATGCAAGAAGGAACAGGGCAGAGAATTAGTGACTGTAGAAATATACAGTAACTTTGATGCACATTGTAGGTATGCCTCTCTACCTGCAATGCTGTATATCGCTATGATGGTGGGTGTGTTAATCTTTGCTGCTCTTATTACACTGTATGGACACTGGAACACCACAAGTGAGTTTTAGATTTTACACGAGTATGTTAAATCTGCCACCTTTCTCCCACCATATTTATGTGCATCGGAGTGCTTCTTCTACTTCCATATCACCAATCTTTTCTTTTGCAAGAGGAAGACAAGAAGTAATTGGAAAAAGAAAATCACATGGAGATCATTTAAACTAAATAGGATACCTGTATACATCAATCCATTCAAATGGTGCTACAGAAAATTCATTTCTTCTGTAGCAACGCATGTCAGCTCTTCAAAGGTTGTAGATATTAGTATTGTTCAAAGATGCTGTATTTGTCGTGCAGAGGACCTGATATTTTCCTAACAAGTGCACATGAAATAAACACACTCACGCTATTCCAC